TTTCACACGCTCGCCACGCACTAACTGCCAACGCGACTCTTCGCTTCGTTTTATTGCGTTTACTCCGCAATTGCAGAAAACGTGCGCTAGTTTTCAAACTTGGGGAATTGTTTTTTGCTTGGGTTTTTGCGCAAGTTGTGTTCTTCATATCATTCTAAGTGTGCCATGAAATTGTATTCCTCTTAAATGAGTGTGTTGCGGCCGGATTTTTTTTCACCAGTGGGTCCGATTCAAAGCAGTTTATGACTTCTTGCGGAGGCAGTGCTCGCGGCGACAATATCTCATATCATTCTTTGTAGTTGCGGTTTGTGGAAGCGACAGTTACTGGTGATGTTCGACCACATGGAAAACGTCTGTCGGAAGCTTGAAGTTGTTGTGCAATCGATGGGCTTTGAAGATGATCCCGTCAAATCTCGAAAAATGAGGTACTTCACATTTCATGTCCTTCTCGACTTCGTGGCTCACCAGTAAGTGACTCCTTGGACTCTGCAATTTTTCGCCAGATAAACTGAGCTAAACCTTAGCTTGTAAATATGTCGTGAGTCGTTTAAACATGTAGAAGAGTTGAGAACTGCGGGAAATCAAGCGGCAGGCAGTACTGTCCGCGACAAAGCTGGACAAAGTGGACCAATTTGCTCACATTTCATGGCAAGATTCCTGGCTCCCAAGCCCTAGAACAGGTTAGAAATTCAACCAGGGAATTGGTCTCTTTCTCAGCTCTATTACAGTGAAGTGATTCATTTTGGTGCGATCTGATGCGGATTATGCACTTTGCACAAAAGCTCCGCAATTGTAGATAATGTTCCGCTTTAAGAGCACGTTCAGACTTCGCGATCACGCGATCCAGTTCGCGCGTACTGGTTCGCGCGATCGCGAAGTCTGAACGCACTCTTTGCTCGCTGAGAGGGAGGCGCTTGTATGGTACGCCTGGCATTAGTACTCAGGCACATACACCGTGAGGCTGCGTTCATACTTAGCGGCGGCGTCTGCCAGCAACCAATAGCGTCCTTCTGCGTTCCGAGTTTCCGACAGCGTCGGCGGCTAAGAAAGTATAGATGTCGATCAGCGTCCACCAGCATCTACTAGCGTCCATCACGTCTGGAGGGCTAGGGAAGTACAGGTATCAATCTAGCGTCTGCCAGCGCCTTCCAGGGTGCACAAGCGTCTACCAGTGTCTGGGGCAGGAGAGCATGGCGCGACATTAGGGTTGCAGAGAGTTGGTACTATTCTATGGCACCATATCCTCTACCAGCAGTCTGCCACCCTCCTATCTCCCCATACTCTACCAGCTGTCTGTTACCTTCTTATCGCGATGTGCTGTCCCCCCTCGTACGCTTTCGGACGCTGGTGCATGCTAGCAGACGCCAAATCGATACTTATACTTCCCTAGCCCTCGAGACGCTGGTGGACGCTGGTAGACGCTGGCAGACGCTAGATCGATATCTATACTTTCCTAGTCGCTGACGCTGCCGGACGCTCGGAACGCTGGTGGACGCTGCCGCAAGTGTGAACACAGCCTAGTTGTCACATCCAATCTTGTTTGAATAGCATCATCTAGTAGACAACTCGCCCGCAAAGCCCAACTTCTTAAGTATGGGCTGAAAAGGCATCATCAGTGATCAAGGTTTCGGTTCACTAAATCACTGCTCTGATTTCCTGTCGGTTAATGTGTCCTAAAATACCATCAGCAGTATGAAAAGTCCCTAGTAACTGAATGTGGTATAGCGGCTATAGTACACTGGCTCTGCAATCCAGTGATTAGCGGTTTAAGTGGTGCGGACGAGTTATAGAGGGCTTGTATAGCGCGTTTTCGGCAGTCTATTTCGCTTTTTTCTCCAGTGTTGAGTTACTCAACACCTTTCATCCGTATTTTCGCTGCGGGCGAGTGACAATCACAATGGCAACGAATGTCTTCGTAGTCTCTTTCGAAGTGGCCCACTTTATTTGTATAGCGCCTTTTTTGTTTCTTTTTTTAGTAATTCGTTTATTTCAGGAAGTTGAAAATTTCGATACGACTCCAAGTAACGTGGCCCAGTACTTCATGTCAAAACGCAGACTTCTGGGTGTTCTCACTGTATTGTTCTTCTCAGCTCACTTCTTGCACGTCACCTGATCACCTGTATCACCTGTGCTCCCGTTGATCATCGAGTTCCTCGAGCGGGCACCAGTAACGCCTCCAGCAAGAGTTGCCCCAATGGGGTTCTCCTGCTCGACACAATGAACAGCTCACTTTGTACAGAGTTATGTGTTTCTAAGTATCGCAGGTGACCTCGTCAGTAGTTGATATCGGGTGTTGATCTCAGCTCCAGAGCAGAATTTTAGTTGTTTTGTCCTCGGCTCAAGAGGGAGAGGGGGCATTTTGCTAGTTAGCCGCTTCCTTACAAGCTTCACTGAGTGGCATTTCACGCAGCTTCCCAAATTTTATAGGTCTTCCAGGTCGATATGGAACGGGTAAGATGCCCGAAGCCGAACAGCGCCGTACTTTAGTTCATGTAGAGTACGATTCCAATAAATGTTCATTAAAACATGTGGATTATTGTTTGTCTGGAACAGGAGCAGGGATTTCTCGAGGGCTGTTTTCGTGTTATTTTGTCAATTTCTATCCTATCACTATTATTATCTGTTTTACTGACTAGGAGGAGCCACGAAGTGAGGTGCACCAATTTGATGCTTTTTCTTATGGCCAGCTTGGCAGGAAAAGTATCTATCATTTTGTCGCAAATTTGACGAGTGATCTCTTCAGCTACTTCTTCGGTAAACTTTTTAAGTTCATTTTCTACACTTCTATATCGTAAATGATTTCATTGTTCTCAAGTTCTGGGAAAGGTTTAAAGCCCGCCGAGACTCTCCAAAGTGACAAGGTGGTTGGGGGTCTACCACGACTGTCGTGCTCCGCCCACTGTGGTCGGCTTTGGCCAGTTTCTATAATAAGGGTACTCTCTCACTTGGATCGTGTGTTTCCTTTTGCTTCCAAGCACCGCGGCTTGAATAACAGGCGTTTCAAAAGTCTTTCCTTTTTCTTTTCTTAGGTTGCTCGAATTACTTCGTACTCGGGTTGGGCATCAGCCATATCGACGGATTTTAGGAGACTTCGTGAATGAAAAAAAAATCGTAATATGGTGCTGTCCCGGAGCCTCATTGTAATCTGAACATGAAACACGTGAAAGAGGCGCCAAAAAATTTATTGCAAAAAACTCAAAAGACTCAAAAGAATCCAAAAGTTCTTGCAAAAATTTTTGTTTCTAATACTTCCTTCGAATATTTCGGTGCCTAGCACCTTCCTCAGCGATCTGGTCTTCTGCCTCCAATATAGCCTCCGCCGCTCCTTGCAAAAGTGCGACTTCTAGTGTTGACTCTTGAGAGTGGCAGTCAACACTAGAAGTCGCACTTTTGCAAGGAGCGGCGGAGGCTATATTGGAGGCAGAAGACCAGATCGCTGAGGAAGGTGCTAGGCACCGAAATATTCGAAGGAAGTATTAGAAACAAAAATTTTTGCAAGAACTTTTGGATTCTTTTGAGTCTTTTGAGTTTTTTGCAATAAATTTTTTGGCGCCTCTTTCACGTGTTTCATGTTCAGATTAAAAAAAGGTGTTTTCCAACCAATCCATGTTGTTAGCACCTGGGCGACAGGAGAAATTGTTCGAAAACCTTGGGCATCCGTTTTCCTGTCCCCTCTGTCTGCGTACAGGGTTTGGTAGGAGAACCAAGGGAAATGTGACCGTCTTTCCAATCGCTCTAACTTTCCCAAGGGTAGCGATGCTTTCTTTGTCATTGATTAATCCCTTTGGGATAACGGCACGCATATTCACTTACATTCAGGATTGTAGAGATTCATTGGAAGCGATACGGCACATAAAATTACTTGCGGGTCCAGCCGGAGTGCTCGTTTTTTTGATTCTCTGGGCCGTTTAAAAACAATTTGCCACTGTATCAACCTGGGTGTACCAGGACCTGTCTGTATCAGGAAATCCAAAGACATTTTATGTTCGTCGACTAAAGAATGAAGAAAGGAAAGAATAAAACACAGGAATTATTGACTACAACAGCAACGCTTAGCGAACCAAATAATTATGAAATTCAATAATTTTGTAATTGTTACAACTCCATTATTAAATGGTGATTCTCATATAGTCTGGCAGACTTGATATATACAAGAAAGTAATAGACAATTATACCCGATTAACACTGATATCAGATCAAAAAAACTCTTCAAACTTTCAGTATATATGCATAACCTCAAAAAGAGGAGCTAAGGTGGTCGAGGAGAGTCAGGGCGGTGAGCCTCGGCTCTCCCCACCCTCTCGACCACCCTAATACCAAAAGAAATAAAAGTCGTCTATTCCATGAGCATGGCCCCATCGATACTTGGCGATAGCTACTTTTCCATATCTAATAAACATTTAATATCTATAACATCACAATCTTCTCTCCTAGCATCCTCAAGTGATGACTGGCTTCCGCACCCCTGCTGCGATTTTCTTTGCGATTCTCCATGACCATTTTTGAGATCACCTGCAATCGAACAAACGCGTTATAGCAATAGGACGTGCACTGCTTACTGAGGGGTCCGCGCCGCGCACGCCGACAAATTCCGCTCCTCTGCGCGCCGTATTGATTTGAAGTGCCTTCATACTTCGCGATACGACCGCTTCCATCGCGCGACGCAGTCGCTCAAGCGCTTCAGAGCGCGAAACATTTTCTCGGGCAGCCTTAGAAGAAGGCAGACTACCAAAGACCTGCGAAGTCTCACCTGGAGGTTCAGAGAAGCACATCTAATCGTGCTGCCTGCGTAGCCCCTCAACTGCGATGCCGCAAGTGATCGTATTTTTCAATTTTGGAACTTACTGTCATGAGTTGTTCGACAGGGGTCCCTTGTAGATCGTCGGTGGTGACCAATTGTGTAAGGGTAGGAATCCTTTCCAGGAAAAGTTTAGTAGTCACTCCAATAGCTCCCGCGATTTCATTAGCTTTCGTCAGCATGGCGGAGTTCATTTGTGAAATCAGTTCATACTGGTTGTTTCCTTCACACACAATTCCATCAATTCATTTACGAACCGGTTGATCTGAAAGCAGTTGATTAGATACGTTAAGAGAGCGTTCAGACTTCGCGATCGACGTGTGCAACCCACGATGACGCGCCTATAAATAGCGCAGACCGGAATTCGTTCGGCGCCGTACGGATTGCCCTTCAAAATGTGTGGGGGATAAGAGGGATACGCGCTGCCTGATCACACAAGATGGTATCATCGGCATTGGCCGCTAGAGTGAAGAGCACAGAAGGATGGGGGAGGCACCAGTTTGTGTAAGCAACGTTACCCTTTCTGTTATCCTATACTCTCTCAAATCACAAGCGGCTCCCGCCGATCGATTCCCGTTTGCAGCTGCATTCGCGTATGGCGCGAGGGCGCCTTTAGAGAGGGGCGCCGACGCGCGTCACTGCGAAGTCTGAACACTGTCTTATGAGATCTGGTCGATGTCCAATTGAAATTCACCTCTTGGAATGATTGGAATGCTTCTATAGCTGCCGTATCCACTCGCTGCATTGTCTGAAAGAACATTGGAGCATCTTCGGACGTATCGTTGCCGTTTTCTGTCAGATCAATCACTTCTTCGACATGATAGTCGAAATTACCTGGAAATCGTGTTTTTGCTTTTTTGACCCATAGTAAAATAGGTGATCCTACGGTATTGGAAGGATACGGGGCTTTGAAATCTTTGGTATTGATATTTATGGATTACCTTTCAGCCTTAACGCCTCCTTCAGGCTTCCGATTTTCATAGTAAACCAACACACAACGCAGTACAACAGTACATCAGCACATACAGAGGAAAGAAGAGCGAATCTATGGCGTGCGCTCCGATAAGGTTGCGTTCATAGTTTGCGCCAGCGTCCACCTGCGCCCAGGAGTAGAAAGTATGGGGAGGTAGGAGGCAGCAGGCAGCTGGATTAGACGTCGTGAAATAGCGGCATGTGCAAACGCACCGTACAAATGATAAAGCACAGACTTATGCAATTTAATGTGGGGTTGTATGAGCGATAGCTCACGCGCAATTTCGTGACGCCTAATTCAGCTGTCTGCTACTCTCCCACTTCCCCATACTCCTAGACGCTGGTTTCGCTATATCGATATCTATACTTTCGTAGTCACTGGCGCTGTTCCGACGCTCAAGAGCGCTTCGCTGATCAGTGGTGTGGACGCGGTGAAGCAGCTAATGAACCAATTTCGACCCGCTGCCCAGAGCGGATTTTTGATAATCATTGCGGCGGACTTCGATAGCGTCACAGATAAGACTTACCTCATTTAGCGTATTTATATATCTGAACTAATAGCTACGATGAACTATCGTATTTATCAACTGTGTCTAAACTCAATCGTATCAGGCCAGAGCGTACAACTCTAGTGATCAGACCAGTATGACGATATTCACCGTATGAAAGCCGTTCTCTGCCTTCACTGTTGAGAGCCGGCGCATGCAGAAAAAGATAGGCTAAAAAACGAGTAATTACGAGCGCATTAATGTACATGTCATTATACATACTAAACTCGCTTTAAGCACCATAGATGATGTAGAAAAACTGGTTTGGCACCCGCCCAAAGCCAAAAAGTCAATCCCGCCTTGAATACGCCCGACCGTATGTTGTTAGCGAACATACAACTATAAAACATCAAAAAGGAAGAGGCCGGTGAACCTCCTGGAACCAGCTGCGCTTGCGGAAAACAAAAGTTCCGCTCCGCTTTCAGAGCCGGTTGCCGTTTCACTTTTGATTACAACCACCGCATCAATAGGTCCGCTCTTCTCTCTTCTCTGGAACTTGTTGATGAACTCATTGAAATGCCTGTAGTGTGCTCGTTTAGCACTGTAATTTAAGCGCAATGGGCGCGATGGCTGGGCCGGGCGGCTTGCCAGCCTTATTGGTGGTAGGGCTGCGCAAGAGACGCCACACCCTTCATTCAGCTCTTCCACCACTGACGTTGCCAACAACCGCCCGCTCCCAGGCATCGTGCCCACTGCCTTGAAGTTTCAAAGAAGGCATTAGTGCGGAAGCCTCACTGAAGAGTTAAAGGCTTCGCGAAGGTGCAGTATTCCTCAATACGAATGCGGTCCATACCTTCGCCATATATTCGCTCGATTCGCCTTCGAGAATCGTGACTAGTGGTGAGGTATGAACGCATTTCCACACAATAAAAAAATTGTCTTTTTGCTACTTCGAAAATTACCTGCAGGGAAAACATCAACAGTAGCTGGTTTTTTAGGAGGACGATATCTTCCTTGAATGATTCCGTGGCGATGCGCCATGCGCCTTAACCAGTGATTTATGAAGCTGACTAATAGCTTACGACTAGAGAACTCTGTACGTTCTACATAGGATAGTAGGAAAAAAACTTATTGAAGGCTCTAATTAAAACTTTACGGACCATATGTCCTTTTCTTCGACATAGCAGATACGTGCTTGCCGATCAGCACCTACTGAGTGATTCCACCTTTCCTTAAGTATTTTCGCAACAATCTGTAACATTAGCAATAATCCATCTATTCGGTTGCGGGACCGTTGAGAACTCACCTCATCGGCTTGTAGGCCTTCCCTTAGCATGCCTAATATTTCTTCCACATCATTTTTATTAAGTCGCAGTTTCGACGGACACACCCCATGACCGAGATGACCGAGGCAACCTTCATAGGTGACACTTCCATCTTCTTTTTCGAACACCTGGAACGTTTCGAGGGTTACTGGAAGCAAAGAACGCGATCATTCGCCATCACAGACAGTGCATTGGGGGTTTCCATATAAAGACAAGGGGCAGAGTAACTTGGTAGTGTAGAAGAAAGCAGAAAAAAAATGTCAACTGCTTCAAATAAGACCCCATTTCGATCGGAGGTTGTACTTTGTACGATCCGAGTTTGTCCAGTTAACTACACCCACCAAAACTCCAACACTGCGCCCTCATCCGCACAGCTGGTTCCCCGATAAGAATTCTACGACCAAAAAAGTGACGTTTTTCAGGCTTTGTGCTCCTGCAGCTTCGTTTTTCCACTGAAAGGTGGGCCTTGAAGGCGGAGTCTGGAGGCGGAGTCACTGGAAAAAGGAGGCGTCACTGAACCTATATTGCGCTATAGCGCCCCTCCCTTACAATTTTTTGCCGCGAAACCGCTACAAGGTTGTTTGACGCGGACCAACCATGTTTTCAACTTCTATCCCTGATCGCGAACGATGCCTTCAAATATTTGAAAATGTTGAGGGCTACCTCATGACAGTGTCACACCCGGTATTTCAAGGCATCCTCATTGATGCGAATAGTTGGGGATTTCGCGAGAAAATGGATTGTTGAACCGCGTTCAGACTTCGTGATAGGATCGATCGAGCGATTGAATCGCGCGACCGCGACCAGGGTCGCTCCACCGCCGCGACGGCACAATTCCGATCGGCACGGTGTGATCATGGCCATACTTGAATTTTGCCGTTGCGGCAGTGTTCGCGCGATCCAGTCGAGGGATCCTCGCAAAGTGTGA